CAAGACATAGATATACAAACATGCTCTAACAGTATAGAGAATTACTGTCTGTCTCCTATAGAGAGCCAAATTCAAGTTGACCTTACAAACGTACTATGTTTTAGAAGTAAATACAATGAACAAAGAGAAATCGGACAGTGGTTTAACACAGTTAAGGGTTGCTCAAAAATTCCCATCAAATTCATCTCTTCAAAAATTTCCAGCTTTTCTTCCATATTTATCATTCAACCTCTCTACTCTGCAAATATGTTAAATATAAAACAAGTGGTTCCAGCCTCAGAAAAAGAGAATATAATGCCAAAGATTGGAGCATATTAGCAGTTAATAAGCTTTGACCACTCATATCAACTGCCTTATAGCACATCTATTAATGTACTGTCATGCATTCCTATACACAATTAAAAGTGGTACTACCAGTGAGTGATTTTCGATGTGAAAATATGTAACATTATCAGTTAGAGGAACTTCAGGTTTTCCCCTCTTTACATAGTATCTAGCATATTAAGATTTCAGTAAAATTAATTATTTATTTCCTCTAACACTACCTGTGAATCAATTAGTAATTCTATAAGTACAGAATGGCTATTTCAGTTTGATCAGTTAGGAATTAGCAGTTAAGGGCAAAGGCTGAAAAAAGTTTACATGACTAATAAGCTTTCTTTCCACCCTTGAGAAGAATATTTCCCACATGGATCTTGTATTAATGGTGTCAATTAAAGCAGTAGAAATAGTCACTTGCCAATTAAGTCACATTCCTGCTAATGCAAAGTTGAATTTTCAATTTAATAATCAAAAGAATTTGTTCTCCAATGCTATATAGATCAAGGGTTCTCTGAGTGTAGTGGCTGGTCCCCAGATCGATTGATCCCCCCCAAAAGGGAAGTACTTATTAATCTCTGGATTCTTAGCTGGCTTTGATTTTTAATAATATTAATTATTATTATAATAGATATCATTCATTGAGTCCTTACTATGTGCCAGATAATACCATGCTATGTGCTTCACTAACATCTTTTCATTTATATCTCCTAACAATCCTAGGTAGTGGGTTTTATTATCTTTTCTTTAACTGAAGATAAGAGATGTTAGTAACTTCTCAAGGTTCAAAACTAGTGCAGAACTGGGATTTAAACTCAACCATTTTGGCCTCAAAACC